CCCCCCCCGCCTTTTCTGTCAGGCGTCGTGGCGGGACGGGGCCCCTCGCCGCCACCTTATCCCGATCTTCTTGAGGCCGACGGTAAAGTGGGGGGGCGTGGGACGGCCGTGACCGCCCGGCCCAAGGTCCTGGGCAGGCTCAGTCAGCACCCGCTTGCCCTCGTCCTGAGGATCCCCCTCCTCCTCCTCCCCACCACCCCCCCGGCACAAGGAAAACTTATTTCAAGGAACTGGGAGGACACAGAAGTCAAGGCTGGGAGGCCTGGAGGACCCGGCGGCTTTATCTGTCCTCGTCCTTCAGAGGGAACACAAAGGTTGCTCAACAAGTGCTTCCCCTGTCGCCCGGGGTTCGGTACAAACACGTGTCCTCCCCCAGTGAGGTTCTTCCAAACGGCTTTATGGGAGCGAGGGCAAATGTTTTTAAAAGGCGGTAAAAATGGAGTGCCTGCCAACTTGAGTAGCACCCCCTGTCCCCCAAGAAGTGTGGTTTTGTGGCAAGGGGGTGTTCACCCTCGCCAGTTTTACCCCGGAGCGTGAGCTGCAGCTCGCCAGTAAGGGGGGCAGCCGAGAAGGGGTCCTGGCTGGAGAGGTCTCCTTCCAGTCCCAGCCTGTACTCCAGAGGGTCAAAAACTGGGTGAAAGGCTGGTGTTTGCATCCTCGCTTTCTTTCTTTCCCCAGGCAGAGACAAGCTCGTGACGGATGGTGAGTCACAGGAACACGTCACCAGCAAACAAACTCTAGTAACCTCTCAGTAGCTGCATTTCCCCGGGTAAATGGGAAAGTTTTCCTAAAGTCAGGAGAACTAAGCCACTAATTTCTTACGGGCAAGTATGTGTCTTTCCTTCTCCTCACCACTTCAGGGCTGGGCTGTGCACCCTGAAAGGTTGTCCCAAACCAAGGTATGAAGCAGGGTATTAAAACATTTCTATCATATTTCACCTTCTCAGATCTGTTAATAAAACAAATTTGCTTTGACCAACACACACCCAAGACACACTCTTAAATGTGTAAGTCTGCTGGAACTATTCAGAAGTTGTTCTAAATAATCTGTGGAGTCTCTGAGCAGAGCCGCTGAGTGAAAAAGTCTGAAACAGATTTAGTTTGCAATGTGTGTTCACACTATTATCCCACCACCCACCTTTCATGCTGCTTAATAGGAAAACTGTTGTAAAAATTAAAGGAAAAAAAATTAAAATCCTATCATTGCTGAAATGCAAATAGCTACATGGGTGATAGCACCAGGAATTTTCACATAAATTTGCCCCTGTTCTTAAGAAGTCGATTTTAACACAATGCTGC